ACAGGGTATCTGCACTAATGTAGCCATTCCTTTCTCTGAAGCCCTTCCCTGTTTTTTCTGTGTTGTCTTTGAATGTTTTTCTGAAGGCACAGAGTCTCCAATATTTGGGGCCAAATCAGTGTGTATTGTGGAGGATTTTCATGCTGCCTGAAAATTTGCTTTGGGTTTTGAAATTTCAGAGCCTCTGATGAATTCAGGGTCCTGCAAGGAACTAAAAGCCAATCATAAATACCTTTTTATTTGCTATGCATGGAAGATTTCTCGTGCACTAGTTTTACTGATGCAGTGCAAGAATACCTATTTATTTTACAAATAAAAGACTACAAACCTTCAACTAAGAAGACAGTATAGAACTATCAGTAAATGTCAGTTATGTCATTTATCTATAGACAAATAACTTTGTATAGTCAATGACTGATTAAAAGCACATACCTGCTTATTGGGGCAAAAGCACATAATTTTCCCTCTTTCTTAGCCCTTGATTAGTAAAAAACCTGCTAATTTTATTACTCATTAACGTGAAGGTAAATGTCCTTCAAAACTCTAGGGTTCTTTGGCATATCTCTCACTATTCAACTCTGTTATCAAACACTGTTCATAGAATAATATATATTCAGGGCTTACTTGTGCTAAGCACTTTTCAGATATCAGCCTATGTAATCCTTACATATTGTTCTGTATATGCATATTATTAGCAAATTTTTACAGATGAGAAAGTGCAGTTAAAATTTAAATTGTTGGGGCGCCTGGGTGGCTCAGTCAGTTAAGCAGCCGACTTTGGCTCAGGTCATGACCTCAAGGTCCGTGAGTTCGAGCCCCACGTCGGGCTCTGTGCTGACAGAGCCAGGAGCCTGTTTCAGATTCTGTGTCTTCCTCTCTCTGACCCTCCCCCGTTCATGCTCTGTCTCTGTCTCAAAAATAAATAAATGTTAAAAAAAAAAAGTTTAAATTGTTGAAAGAGTCAGCACAGTATGGAGATTAAAAGCACAGGCTAGAATCGGACTCCTTGGGTTGATTACCTACTCCATCATTTATCAGCTGTACAATCCTGGGAAAGTTACTGAGTTTCTCTGTGATCCAATTTTTTAATCTATAAAATGGGGATAACAGTGCTGACCTCACAGAGTTATTGTGAGGGGTAAGTGATTTAACATATGCAAAGTACTTAGAAGAGAGCAGGGGCACGGTAAGTCACGTGATACTGTTAGACATTGTCCCCCAAACGGGAGGCCACTGAGCCAGAGCTTGTGAGCAAGCAGACTCACAAGACTCTTCACAACTACGTATGTTACCTAATCTGATCGACCCAGATCCTCCCATATTATTTCTCACAGTTTAACACTCTTGAATATCTCCTTACTGCATTCAGGATAAAGACCCAATCCTATAATAAAAAAAAAAAAAAAAAAGCAGGGGGGGAGGGGCAAGGGGCTCCTCGGTGGCTCAGTTAAGTGACTCAGGTCATGACTCCCGTGGTGGACTCTGTGTTGAGTGTGGAGCCTGCTTGGGATTCTCTCTCTCCCTCTGCCCCTCTTGCTCGCATAGGCACACACACACTCTCTCTCTTTCTCTTAAAAAAAAAAAAAAACAAAACGAAAACCCAATCCTCTGAGGTAGTAGGTAACTAGGGTGATCAGATTGTTTAGATTGCCCGAGGGTCCCAGTTTATATCTGTTGTACTGGCATCCTGTTCAGTTTAGCATTTGTCCAGAACTTTTGAAATTTTAGTTTAGAAAATAGTTTTTAAATGCAGTTATTTTATAAATCCACTGACCATACCATTGGTCAGCAAATACATATGTCAAATATAGACCATTTTAATTATTTTTAGTACACCCTCTCTGGTGGAAACATCCTTGTTTGGAAGATAAATTCTGTGGTCACCCGACATATAGCACTCTTTGTGAAATTGGCTCTGTTTACCTCTTCTGCTCGCCTCCCATTCCCTTGTACTACCATTGAATTGATCACAGTCCCCCGAATGGATCTTGCCTTCGCACAAACTGTCCCTTCTAGTTGGACCGGTTTTCTTTCCTCAATATCCCGTTCTAGACGGTGCTAGCATTGCCTTCAGCATGCAGCATGAAATGCCACCTCCTTGGGAAGCTTCCCTGGATTCCTCGGGGTTGGGTTAGGGGCCCCACGCGGCTCTTACAGAATCATCTCCTCCCCTGTCAGGACACTTTGTTCTCTGAACAGTAATGATAATACTTGACCGTGTTCTCCTCCAAGGCAGTGGCTTGCATACAGGTGGTCATGTGGATTCTTTCCTTCTTTATTTATTTACTGAATGGACGAAAGAGGATTAGCTTTTCCCCCTCTTATCTTTCCTCTCTATTTTGAAACCAATTAAAGGTAAATTATATTCCTCAGTTTGGAGGGTAGGGGCTTAGAGTCCTGCAACACTTTTGTTCCTTTTTTTACAGAGAAGAAAGGCACCAGGTGTAGAATCACCCCTGGAAAAGACAAAATTTTGGACATCCTCTGGGAGCTTAGATTAATTCTGACTTGCCCCTGCCCCTGATCCTGACCAAGTGGCCACTGTTGTGTGATGAAAAACTTATCCCGCCAGTTGGCAGGACTTGTCTAGCAGAGTTCTGGCTGGATGTCAGTGGCTGCCCGTCCTCCCCAGGGCACACTTCTGGGCAGGGTGCAAGCTGTCCACTGCATATGGCGACCCCGCCTCTGATCCGTGTCCTAACAACTCTGACCCTAAGGCCCCCATCACCTTAGGAGGCCAGCCTCACTTCCCATCCCTTTAACCCCAAACCCTGACCTGAACCCAACTCTTGGTCAAGCACCTTAAACAGAGAAGTCCAACAGAGCTAAGCAAGCGCAGCGTATAAATAAGATAGGGTGCACAGTGATCTATGTCAATTATTTCTCAGCAGAACTGGAAAAAATATGGAGAGAAAATGAGTAAATAAAATGGAGTCCTGAGATGTGACAGAGAGAACGGAACCTGCTGAAGCTTCCTTAAAGTAACACGGAGCCGGGAAGTGAATTTTGGGTTTTGTCCTTCAGTACGTTCAGGCAGTTCAGAAAAAAGACTGAGCTCTGGGTTGGCAGTGAGTGATGAGGAAGCTGGGGGTGGTGCTGATGAGCATCTCTTTTTGTGTCTCATGAAGTAGAGTAACATCCTTTGGAATCATAATATCACCATCCCCTTTCAAACACTGTCTCCTTCCTGTTAATGTTTTGCATCCACGCCCGTCTCGCTGATGGCACCCATCATTGCCGGGGCTTGAGGCTTGCCAGGCTCTGTTCTCCACTTCTTGCTAGTGAGGCAGGATTTGAACCCAAGGCACACAGGCCCCGTCAGCACTAATCAGCCCCTAACACGCAGCCAGGTCGCCCACACCCATCTGCCAGCCGTGAGCTGTGGCCACAGGGCAGATGGGTCAAAAAGTGTAAATGCAACGTGAGAAGCATGGGTGCCGAGGACGGAGCACAGCGTGGCCTGCTGGTCTACTGGGCGTGGAACATGGGTCAGGAAGCAGCCCTGCCAGCATGAGGCTGCCCAGAACCGACGGCCGGCCCCACGCTGCCTGCCATGGACACATAGCACGGCTGCCAGGAGCAGTTCTGGGCCATCAAAGGGCAGCAGCATCAGCTTTCACAAGCAGTGGGAAAAATAAACACCCCCTCAACCTGTTGATCCTATTCTATTTTGCAACACAGAAATGATGGCTTTCAACTCAAGCCAAAAATTCCTTCCTGAGTCATGGCGGCTGGTTTCTGAGCGGTGCCCCTGCTCTGTGCTTGTCTTAACTGGAAAATGACAAGTATGAGTAAGCAAAGCGTTGCAGCCTGTCCCCGCCTCATGCGCATGCCACGGCACTAAGTAAATAGAATAAATACGAAGTTGAACGGGGAACAGACTTGCCTTTGGGAGGCCCTTTAACAAATAAGTGTAAAGATTAATTTTTCCACATCCTCAGAATTGAAGGCAGTCAAAAAGCTCTTAGTCAATCTCGTGTGAGAGAAACGTTTCTGAAAGACTGCTGAATTTTCAAATTTCACATCCCTCAGGTTTGGCTACTATTACTTTTCTCGAAGTCTTTTATAATGAAATTTCATATGAAAATGCATTTAATTCATTTTCTAAAAAAAAAAAAAAATCCGAATCTTCTTGGAGAATCGAGGCTTCTGAAACCTGGTAAGAGGGCCATCGCTGGAGGGCTGTGTCCCGGTAAGCACCACCTGAGACAGTCGTTTCGGTGGGTCCACACCTACGGTGGCTTTTTCAACACCTGTTCCCTTCAGTCCAACGGGGCGCAGTGAGCAGGGGAGGCCACGTCAATCACTGCCTTTGGGTATCCAGTGAGTCCCCAGGTGGGACAGGCAAATGCTCCCTCAGTAGCCCTGTTTCAGGATTTCTTGCCTGCCATGTGGGTGTCGGCCGAAAGACAGCTTGCCCCCCGCATCATGAAATGGTAGGATCTGGAAGTGCCAGTCGTTGCGTGTTACACAGTGTCCGCCTATCTGTCCTTTGGGAAGGAATTTAGGGAGGAAGAGGCAACGGGTAACTCTGTCACCTTGCACATGTGCTTCCAACGGCCACATTCTCAGGCGACCCCGTCAACAACGAGTTACCAAGGCTCTGACAAATGGCCTCACAAATGGCGGATTTAGTGGTGGGTGGCAGAGAAGGGAGAGGGAAGAGTCCCAGATGCTTGCCATTTAATCAGGACCAGAGTGCAGTTAAACATTCTTCATCTCAAAGTTGGCCGGGTATGACTTGATGGAGAATAGCTCTCTGACTCAGCTCTGACCAGGCGGGTGACTTAAATAGCCTATTAATACCCTTTTACCTCGTTCATGACAAGAAGTAAAAGAAAGCTCAACTGACAATCCCTTAGCTGTAAAATTGAGTGCATCATAAAATAACCGTAAAGTCAATATCTAGTGTTAGGTCCATTAAAAATGTCACACTTTGGAAATGTCTTAATGTGGCCCCTGGGAAGCAGGCGAAACAATGCTGGTGTGCGGGATATTACCTCGTCAGCCCATAGCCCTGGTGAGACCAGCTTAAGGGTGGGTTCTTCTGCTCTGTCCTACGTGTGCTGGGGGTGATGTGGGGTCAGGGTGGGGGGGGGGGAGGGCAGAGCGAGGAAAGGGAAGAAGACAGGAGAGAAGAGAAAAAGAAGAGATACATACATGGTTATTAGACATCCTCAGAAGTCCAGCTTTCTTTGTTTCGTTATTTGTTTACATCTTCCCCGCCACCTTTCCTGTTGTTTAGCTTCTGGTATCAGTGAGGTGCCCCGGAAAAGGAAGAAGCTGAGAGTACAGCTCAGGAGGCTGGAGAGAGGCAGTGGGGCAAACAGCGTTCCCTGGCATGGCGCCAAGGAAGCCCATGTTCCTCCGATGGATTCTTCAACTATGGTGCTGACTCATCGTGACTCTGTTTCCCCACAGTGGAGGTGGTCAGGACAGTCCCCTCCTGCCCACACCGCACGTTTCTGACAAATCCACCTAAGGTCTACGCTTAGAGTGGAAAAATATCAAGGGCTGATGATGCCAGGTGATCCTGTGACATGGCCACCAGGCATGTCGGACCCCCCTCACTGAACATGAGGTTAAGAGGGATGGGTGAGGGTTGGAGAGAACAAGGTGGCTGGGCTGAGGCCTGTTTATGAAGTTTGGGTGTGTCAGGCGGTATTGTCTCTGTGCTGTGCGGAGACCTCTCTGCAGGGCTTGACTCCAGGTACCCTGTCCCCAACCCAGCACCTTCTCCTCACTCACCACCACCCTGCAGAGCCTTTGGAATCGTATCACTGCTGCCTTTCACCACCCACTCTAATTAAGGAGTCTTAACAAGGAAGCTCCTTCTATTTCCTCCAACTTCGGCTTTTGAATGCTCTTAAATTTCCCATCACTCCTTTTTGGGTCTTGGGTCTTTGACATTCAATTATACTTTGTAAAAAATCTCTAAACCAGTTTCCATGAAGCCTCTCCACCAAATCAATGTGTGAGCACCACAAGGGAAAGAATTCTCCCAAACTCTCCCCAGGGCTCCCAAAGGTCATTCTACTTTTCCCCCCCCCTTTCACAGCAATCCATGCTTAAAAGCATCATCTAATGAGCAAACACGCATGGGAGTAAATGCTCTGAGAGACATCCCGCTGTGACAGTCAGCTGATTAAAAGCAAAATGACAGATCTGTAACCAACGACACAATATGGTGGAGAATGCTGTTAGCACATGCACGCACCCACACTTTGCTCTGTGCAGCATGGTGAGGAACAGAAATTAGTTGAAATGGCTGGATCATGCAATTATTGGGAAAGAAGCTGTGGGGGAGAATTAAAAAAATGTGAATACCTGTGTAGGTCATAGCTTCCTCCATCTTTATTTCCTGACATAGGAAAATACAAGAGTAATTTATGTTAGCTTTAGAACTCATAAAACCATTCACTATGTCGTTTTCCATGCACAACATCTAAATCCTAGAAAGAAACATATTGTGTTAAATACAGACAGTGCTGAAGTCCCACAGAGCTTTTCTAGTAGACAGGTTCAAAATGAGCAGTGAAAGCTATAAATTAAAAGGTTTGAGATAAAATGTATAGGAGTTTCTTTGGTGGCAAAGGAGGAGAGAGCCCATTTAAAAGCAGTATGAGGGGCGCCTGGGTGGCGCAGTCGGTTGAGCGTCCGACTTCAGCCAGGTCACGATCTCGCGGTCCGTGAGTTCGAGCCCCGCGTCAGGCTCTGGGCTGATGGCTCAGAGCCTGGAGCCTGTTTCTCATTCTGTGTCTCCCTCTCTCTCTGCCCCTCCCCCGTTCATGCTCTGTCTCTCTCTGTCCCAAAAATAAATAAACGTTGAAAAAAAAAATTTAAAAAATAAATAAATAAATAAAAGCAGTATGAAAAGTACTTCCAGTCAGTCTCAGTAAAATTTTGGTTATTTTTAGACAAAACAGTTGGGAAAAAAGGGGGGAGGGCAACAATCATCTCCTGTAGGAATTGTCTAGAAGGTGGAGGGGACTACTGGCTTCACTGGCTCTCCCTCGTGTGTCATTCCATCAAGAGACTATCAGACTTCCCTGAACAGAGTTAGGTCACCACCAGTAAGAGAGCCAGGTCCTTTGGGGGAGAGCTGTCTGGGTATAAAATTTCGAAAAGCAATAATTGGTTCAATTTCTAGGCCTTATTGAGATTTTTCGTTTGTTTATTTTGTTTTTGGTGTGTGGAGGGGTAAGATTTGAGGAAAAGCTCAAACAGATAAGCAGGATATCTGAAAAGATTGGAGCTGGGTGGGGTCAGCGACCAAAGACCTATTCTGCAGCTCAGTCAGGACTGGACTTTACAGGCGGCCAAATGATTTGATTAAGGTGTTAACTGAGAAGTGTTGGCCGATGGCTGTGAGGTGACCTCTCTCACAGTGTTTATAATTTCTTTTGGGGTCTTTGCAGCTTGAAAGCCTCAGGACCCTGCAGGGGTGGAAATGACAGGAGGCAGACATTGATTTTTTGGAGGTAGGACCCCCTCCCCCCCTTCAAGTCACATGACCCAGGGGAGAGGCCTACTTTTAGGGCTGGTGATATTGGCTCTGCCAGGTGCCCAGAGACACCGGCCGTTAGGGACACAAGGCAAACTCAGCTGCATACAAAGGGCTCCTGCAAACCGCTCCCCACCATCACAGAGTTCAGCTCTTTGCTCTTTTGGGGTTGGCTGCCGTGCTGATGCCAATGACCTCGCCAGTGCCAGCTCCTTCTCCTCCCTTCATTGGACTGCTGGAATTTACGTTTCTACAGGAATTACGACAAACTGAGTATTCTCATCAATTAGGAAAGAGCTGGGACAGACACCGAAAAAAATGGCAGCCTCACAAACCACAGGCGAAATTAGTTTCATGCTGCAGATCTGGGAGGGAGCATCTAGTTGATTCCATATGGACCCTCTAACACTGCTGGGTCCCAAGACTGAATTACCCAAGTATCTCTAGTTTCAGAGGGGAAATACTGGTACAAGAAATCGAATTCACTGTGTCACGGGCAGGGGTCCAATTAGGGCAGCTCCCAACTGTGCTAAGCAGAAACAGGACATTGTGTGTTCCCATCCAAATTCAGTTAAAAAATGAGGATATCCTGGTTTGCCTAAGAGTATAGATCACGCCTGTTGACAGCAATAACAAATAAATCCCCAATGCCTTCATCCTGCTTGCCAGTGGATGCTTCTATCAGGAAGGTTTACTAGTAGAACAGACGTGTGGGACAAATTGGAATAAAACACTCACCAAATCTTTTGGCGTGTTAAATTTTTCATTAATGCTCCCAGAGATAAACTTAGAGAACAGATTATGTTTGGAACTGCCTGGAAGTGTCCCAATCTCTGGGTTTCTATGCATAGCGTCGTTTCAAAGGCAGAAAACTTGACAACACAAAGAATTTCCCAGGAAATACAGGAAACAACAACAACAACAACAACCACCTTCCCCCACCCCACCCCCCTTACCGACTTCAAGGCCCTTAGGTCTTGGATTGCACTGCTTATACCCTTGGCAGCTTCTGAGCTCCATGAGTTGTACATGTAGCTGGTTCAAAATGCCCCGTTCCACTGTGTGCACTGTGTTTGTGAGCTGTGGGTGAAGAGGCCAGGACAACATATTGAAGCTCATGTTCTGGCTGTTTTGTTTCCAACAACCTTCATAAAATGAAAACATACTGACTTACCTGATAAGGATCTGTATTCATATCAAAATACTCCAAAAAGCCAGTGGCGAACTCACAGAAAAGAAAATTATGCGTCTCATTAACTGTACGCAAACACCAGTAGGTATTATTGTTAGAGCTCGTGCAGGCGCAGAAGGATCCCACTGTTGGTAAAAAAGAAAAACGAAAGGCAAAGAATGAAAGAAACGAAAACGTAGGCAGGCTAGCCATTCTAGCATTTCCTTATCTTTATAACTTAGGGGCACATTTTCTTTCTTGTAAGTACTATGTGTTTAGATGTTAAAAAAATTGTATTTTCCCCCCTCTCGAAGAGGTGGAAAGTGGGGGAGGGTGGAAAACGGGGAGAACGCTGGCAATCTATGATCGTGAATACAGGCTGAAGGCCAGGGTGAAGTTTTAGGCACGCTGGTTTGCCCCCCGCCCCCGTTGGGCAGTGGTCTCTGGAATAGGGTGGGTGGAGAACAGGAAGGGAATTATCAGAATTTACATTTCTGGTTATTTTTATCTTTTATTTATTTTTTTTAAAGGATAAAATGGTTCTAAAATAAAGAGGTGGACTGGTGCCCTTGAGTGTCCTCATCTGGCCACACGTCACAAATGGTGCATGGAAAGAGGGGGTTCTGCAGCGGGAAGGGGTTTACAGATGACTTGAGCCCAGCTCAGTGGATTGAGGGATGATGTAATTTGTGATCATTGTAGACGACACTTTCACATGAGACAGGCTATGACCTTGAACAGCTTTGGCACCATGCAGAGGCTCACTGGTTTTCTGGTGGAAAGTGTCTCAGACACTTTGGAAACAAAACAAACCATCCAGTCTTCTTCTATAGAAAGAAAGTTTCTAAATTTCTGACCTCTCCTGCAACGATAATTGAACTTTAGAAATATGCTGTCTAGCAAATACTTTTAAAGCAGTTGGAATAGGCACACTTAATGCGCATTCATCGTCTACTATGTACTTTGCATGTATTAACTCATTTAATCCTTAAAAAAATCTTATGAGACAAAGGTTATTGTTATTTCCATTTTACAGATGGGAAAAACGAGGCTCAGAGAGGGTGAGTAATTTATCTGAGGTCACACAACTGACAAGTAGCAGCATTAAGGGTCTGGCTGGAGGGTATACCCTTAACCACTATATGTCACTTACCCACCTATCCAGTATTAAACACACTAAATCTGTCCCCTTAAGCTAAAAGAAATGTTTTAGACAACGAATGAGAAATGATTTTTTTTTCTAATTTTATTTTGATAGACTATTTTTAGAGCATAAGATGGTTCACAGCAAAACTGAGCGGAAGGCACAGAGAACTTCTAGAGAATACCCCCATCTCCACAGATGCAGAACCTTCCCCACTATCAATATCTCTCAACACGGAGACAACTAATGAACCTACATGAACACGACGTCATCACCCAAAGTCCACAGCCTACATTAGGGTTTGCTCTTGGTGTCGTACGTCCTATGGGCTTTGACCAACGTACGGTGACATGTGTCTCCCAGCATAGGGTCACACGCTGCTGGTACGTCACATCGCTGACCTAAAGATCCGCATTTCTCCATCTATTCCTTTCTGCCCACGGGAGATGCTTTTTCAGGCTGCCGTGTTTCCAGGGGCCCAGCCCAGAGCTTGGCGGAGAACAGACCCCCACAATCTGAATGACCCTCAGAGATCCTCATGTCCCGGTTTAGGGGACGCCATGGAAAGTCAGGATGCTATGAGTTTAAGAGTTCACTTGGCTTTAGCGTGGCTGGAAATGAAAATGCAAACTTGAACGCTGAAATCAAAAGGCATCAAAATGGAAAGACAAAACAAAAATCCTCACAGGTAGGCCTGAAACTCCCAAAGAACGGGTCTTGGGTTCCTGGAGTCTCCAAATCCCACTTGGGGAAACACTGACCCAGCTGGTCCTACTGTGATCTTTTCAATGAGGAGATCTGGGGTTTTAGCTACTCCCTGGGTCGGTAAGCCTTCAGTCAGATGATGTGCCACAAGTATTTAGGGCATTATTTCTAGATGGCCTCAGTGAACACTGTGCACAGACCACCAAAACAAATGTTAAGTATAATTTTAAAAGCACACAATTGTTATTATTCCATGTCACCAGCAATTCCGTATAAAACTAAATATTTTGTGGAGTCTCTATTCTTCCCCGCAAACATGACACTAGGTAGTTAAGGGGGCTGAGAATTAGTAGGATATGGCTCCTGCCTTTAAGGGGGTTTCACTTCCTTTTATTATACTTAGAGCATTACATGAAATACAGCAGCGACAAAATACATAAGAGGCAAAATCGTTTGCCCATTTATTTAGTTATTCAGTCATAGAGCAGTCTTGCTGGGTGGGCACTTTGCCAGGAGGTGGGCACTATGTGAAATAACACCAACAGGAGAAAGACCCAGGGCGAGCTTGGCCTTTTCAAGTAAAATGTGAAAACAAATCTCTAAAGAAAAAAATAATGCTTGGCAAAAAATCATTCTAGAAAATAAGAGGATGCTCCCCACTTGAGTTATTCTAGATCCCTGGTTTTATGCGGCTGAAGCCCTGGTCTTCAGGACTGTAGTGTGAGTCACTGTCTCTGCGTGGCAGCAGTTAGTGGCATTTAGAAGGAGCAATTGATACGAGGTGATGGGTGTTAATGCAATCATCATTTCACAGTCGGCAAAACCTTGGTTTTCGAGCATAATTCGTTCTGGAAACATGCTTGTAATCCAAAGCACTTGTGTATCAAAGCGAATTTCAAGAGCCGTTGGCTCAGCTGTGATCGTGTGACGTTCGGCGTCATGGACCGCTCGTACTGCAAGACATCGCTCGTTTGTCCAGTTACAATTTATTAGAAACGTTTGCCCGCCTTGCAGAACACGCGCAGAGCAAGTTACTCGCAATCCAAGGTTCCACTGTGCATAGACGTCAGGTCTGTCTGCTATATACCTTAACACTTATACAGCGCTACTCCATAAAACTGGGAGAAAGATTTCTAAAAAACCCTCAAAAACCAAACCACTCAAAACTTACGGTTCCAGAACGGGGCCGTCTGCCAGTGGTTGTTGTCATGCGTGAAGCAGGTGAGGCCCGGGAGGCTGCATTCCTCCCCCTTCCTCTGCCTTTTCTTCTCCTTCCTCTCCTTCTTCCTCCTACGGTTCTCCTTGAAAAGCTGCAGTTTGCTGTCTACCTCCTGAGCAGCTTCCCTATCCCAACAGAAGGGATCTGTTAATGATCGGAGAGCACTTTCCCAACGGAAACTACTATCTTCGCTCTGTATCTCACACAAATAGGCAGACACACAATAATAAGATGACTTTTATTTTTCACAGAGGGCCTCCTCAAACTCTAATCGGCAAGAACGAAGGTATACTCATTAAGTGACAGCTCGCTTAGAATGTTACGGAGCCTTGGGGCGCCTGGGTGGCTCAGTCAGTTGGGCATCTGTCTTCAGCTCAGGTCCTGACCTCGTGAGTTTGAGCCCAGCATCGGGCTCTCGGCCGTCAGCACGGAACTGGCTTCGTTCGGATCCTTTGTCTCCCTTCTCTCTGCCCCTCCCCCACCTCTCAAAAATAAACATTAAAAAAAATTGTAAAAAAAAAGTAAAAAGAATTTGATTGAGCCTTAAAGGATCAACGTTTTCTTTCTTATGTACATGTAAACACTGGTGGAAGTACGTGTCAGTGTGAATGCGTGGATCCTGCCACACCCTGTGGACAAATGGCTTCACTTCCTGGGGACTCAGTATTTATCAGCCATAACGTCAATGGATAGTTGGATTAGATGCCTTGGAAAGAATTTCCTTTGGTTAGTATTTTGTTATTTTCCATAAAAGTCTCAACTTCTAATATCCTAAATCCCCTTCATACACCAATTATATTATTATTTTAAAAATACGTGTATTTCTTCCAACTTTCAGAACTTAGCACAACTGCAGACTACCCTACGGAATACACCAACCTAAGCAAGACGGTCCCCATTTCCCAATCACTGTCCACAGAAAACAGAGCATGGAATAAAATCCAGTTACCTTCCCAACATTGGCAGACAACACATAGAGAATTAGAACAAACTCCTCATAGCTCCTCCTCAAAGGGTTCCAAAAACATTGCCATGCTCTCTCAGCAAGGTGTGGGCTTTGTTTCCAGCTTCTGGGACTGGGTGCCCTCTTGGCTGAATCTGCTTGTATGAAGCAGCACCACTTGGAACAAGGGGGTCCCTGCTGTGTTTCAGAAGTGCCCAGTGGACAGTCCTTCACTCCCAGCAAATGTGGAAAACAGAGAGTCACTTACTTAAATGGGTGGAGATGACTCTTCACCTTCTCTTGCTTTTTCACACCTTTCTCTTTATTATAATAGCTACGGGCAAGAAGATTGAAAAGTGAGTCTTAGTCCCACATTTGATCAGACAGTTCATTTTAGAAACAGAAGGCAGAATAGAAGGAAAGCTGTTACTTTGTCGTAACTATTTAGCTCAAAGGGACCTTTTAACCTTGGGCTGAGGTTTATGACGGATCTCATTTGACCCGAACAGGTTAGGTCATTACAGTACATGGTAACAAATTCAGTTTGTTACGCCTTCTGTTGGCATAAGAGAGAAACAAGCCTGCTGCTTATCACTGTAGCTTGCGGAAACACGAGTTTAGAAAAAAGACCGTGGGATGGTTACACGCTCACCTCTGTTTACTACAGGCACATTCCTCGGGTTTTCTCCTCTTTAGGTGCCCCCTCACTTCTCTCAAATTCTTAATTTTATCTTGCAAAGCTTCAATCTGGAAGACACATACTTGAACAGTTACCTTTTAAGGCAAGGATTTTCTATGCTGCCTACCTCTCTTTTACTTTCTGTGTTCCATCATCCTAGCTATTCATCTGAGATGATAATTAACTTGGAAACCCACTGGGCACGGAATACGCCTACCTCGATATTCCTACTGATGTGCTGTAGGTAAACATTAACAGATGTCTCAACTTAGCAACTGAATCATTTCCTCGCAGAGATTTCAGTCTGCGTTGGGCCAGTCCCCGCTATGATTTTTACACTCTATTTTGTTTTCAGGCAGGACCATCCCTCTATCACTGGGGAAAGATAAATACCCTGCTACTCTATTTTTCACATAATTGTAATTATAAAAAAAAAAAAAAAGATGAAGTGGACACTCAGTGAGCCCCACCGGTCACAGCCGGGCTGGCGAGCCGAGCTCACATTTGGAATACACCTTCCAATCACAGAGCCGTGGCTAACCTCTTTATCAATGTATGCCTTGTGGTCCTTCCAGGCTCTGGCTGATTGATACAGTTCTCTCTCACAATGGATTGTATCATTCGGAAGAATAAAGCACCTGCAGAAACAAACCCAAAACAATAGAAATAGGTTCATATGCTAATGTTAAAATAAACATTAGAAATAGCAAAGGGAATATAATTATCTTCTAAACTCTTAATTTGGATGCAAGCAGTTGTTTGGAGCTGAGCCATAGACCAGGATGCGTGGCAATGTCTCCTGACCCACATTTACCGGTGTGGGTAAATGATGGTGACAGAGACAGACCGTTACTAAGATCGCCTTTCACAGCAATATTCAATATTCATGTCTCCAAGAACAGATAACCACCGGAAAACTCCAATTTCGAAAGCCTCATCAAATGTCACAGGAAAAATGCCACAGTTATGATGGAAGAAGAAGTAAGTTGCCTGATTAGAGAAATGCAGAGTTAGAAGGGGGTTATTTATCCCATTCATTTTGTTACAGACAGGCTGCCTGAAGCACCCCATTAAGTTTGAAGCGAAGAGGGGCACCTGGGTGGCTCATCGGCTAAGCATCCGACTCCCGGTCACGATCTCACAGTTTGTGGGTTTGAGCCCCGCGTCTTCGGGCTTTGCTCTGACAGTGTGGAGCCTGTTTGGGATTTTCTGTCTCCCTCTCTCTCTGCCTCCCCCCTCCACCTCTCAAAAATAAATAAATAAACATTTTTAAAAAGTTTGAAGCAAAGAAACAGCCTTAGGGATAGAGAGGAATTGGGATAAGGGGTCAGTCAATACTAAAAGTGGAACCCTGGTCTAAATCTCTTAGTGTATAACTATAACGACTGTAGTTGACCCTGGAAGAACACGCATTAGAACTACACAGGCTCACTTACGTGCAGATTTTTTTTTTTTTTGGATAAACACAGTACAGTACTGTAAACATCGTCTCTTCCTTGTGATTTTCTTAAAAACATTCTCTTCTCTAACTTACTTTATTATAAGAATACTGTATATGATACATATAAAATATGTGTTCATCAGCTGTTTATATTATCACTAACACTTCTGGTCAGCAGTAGGCCATTAGTAGTTAAGTTTCTGGGGAGTCAAAAGTTATACGTGGATTTTCAACTGTGTGTACGGGGGGGAGGGTCTGTGTCCCCAACCCCCACCGTGTTCAAGGTCAACTGTACGGGCACCGGAAGACCAGACCCAAAGATAAAGATCCTGACAGAGCTCATGACAGCATGCCTCCCCAAAGTGATATAATGAGAGAGAGAAAAAAAGACCCTGCTAATACATTCAGAAAGAAAATTTTTCTCTATCAAGACATGACCTGGATCTTGGAAGGAAATGGAGAACCAAGGTGGTCCATTAGAGCTGTGAGATTATCAGCTCCCTTCCCTGTTTCCACGGCTCCCGAGGCCCTCCGTGCTTTCTGGGTTCTGCACGGGTTCGTGAGGTGTTCCTGCGTCTTACGACCGTTCTCCAGGCCCCACGGCCCTCCCGTGGGCTGGGTTTCGTTCCTGAGGCTGTGAGCGCACCACTGTTCTGAGCCTCAGTAACGGTGCAGCACCCAGAGCCTCTACCAGTGCCAGTAATGGCTTCCATCTGTTACCCAGACTCCCACAAAGGTAACCGTTCAAGGGCAGAACTCCATGCCTGCTAAGTTAAGATGTGACAGAACCACTCTGGCTGATCAGCCTTAATGCGAAACCGAGCCCAAAGCATGTGTCCAAATGCACGACTGTTTGGACTCCCCGTGGCTTCTTTAAACCCTGGTTGTTATACAGGCCAGCCTCCAGACCCAAGTGGTATCACTTTCCGTGCCAAGTGGTATCACTTTCCGTAAAGAAGGAAGACACTGATAAGATAAGGTGACAACTGTGAACTCAGCCCTCGAGAACTGAGCCTTCCTACTTGTGGGTCACTCGGACGGTGGTGGGCAAGCCCAGGGCATTGCCTCTGTCTGCCAGCATCGTGTCCCCGTCGCCCGCAGCCTGGTGGCCTCCAGGCCCCCGGGGGCCTTCATCATGGCGCTTGGCGATGTTTCTTGGTCTCAGCACTTGCAGCTCTTCTTCTTCCAGGTTTATGTCATATATTTCGCCTTCAAATTCGACGGACAAAGAACGTGTTTGCCGAGTGTGGACAAATCTGGGCTTGTACTCTGGAAATAAGGGAAGATGTGTTAATACGGACATCCAGGTGTAGTTGAGGAGGGGGGAGAACCACCACCTGGCTCAGGGGGCATGCTGGGAAGGGGCAGGCAGTATGTACCGCACCGTTGAGGGGCAGCGGGGTGCTGTGGGCAGCCCCCTGGAATCCTCGTCCAGAGCCGTGGGCTCTCGTCCGGCTCTGGCACTGCCCGGCAGTGCGGTGGAGGGCACGTGCCTCTGGGCCTCGGCCCTTCATCCCTCCAGGCAGGGGGGAGGTCTGGGCGCCTTCTAAGCTCCTTTCCACTTACGGCAGGCTGTGAACTTGCACACTGCGTTTTCAACGCGAACTGCTAAGGCAGTTTGTTTGGATAAAACTATACTCCCAATTACGGTATTAATAATGATACTGTCATTTATCGAGCTTTTGCTATGTATCACCCACCTGATACTTATCTCTAACCCACAATCTTGGAAGGCCTGTATTATTATAATACATCCTTACATTAAGAAAACATATTAGATTGTCCAAACAGGCTCGTAGATCTGGTGCTACGCTTCTCCAGGAGGGAACACTGAAGCTCTGAATGCTACCTCGCAAGTGCGAGGTTACGTAGCCCACAGCTGTGGGAACCAGGACTCTAGTTTCCCAGGTTCTAAAGGCTACAGTCCTCCCACCACATTGGGCTGCTTGTGCCAAAGGGTAAATGCTCTCGACACCTTATATTTGTGCAAATGAAAGAGGAATGCTCTAAGAAAAATTAAGTGTTGCAAATGTTTTTATCAGCCAGCTGACTAGCGATACCTGGCAGATGGAGGGCAAGGCCAGGAGAGGCCAGCGTGTTTTCTGGTCACTGTAAGCCACTGCTCATGGCGTGTTAGACAAGAGCTTTCACCAGCAAACCTTTGCCCCTCCTTACGAGATGCACTTGGGATCTGAGGGCGCCTACTCACGTGGCCTTTCTCTCTCCAGCCTGATGCTAAAATAGGAAGAAGGGGGGGCACACAGGCTACAGAATCAGAATAGTGCTCGCCACAGGATCTCGCTGTGATGGCAGTTTCTAGAGGAGGAAACGCCTCTGTAACAATCAGCAGGCCACTGAGGGTGGTCAGGAACACCTCCTGTCCTCGAATATGTGAGCTTCCATGTGGTTTGAAAGGGTGGCCCCAGACATCTCCAGTTTGTGTTCAATGAGAACAACAGCAGGGTTTACGGTCACTGCTGTGGAGTGACATTGAGCCTCCTGGGAGAGAGGAGGCTGTCCCTACCTCCTAGCCCAACACTGGCAATCAGCTTCCGTTAAGGGAGGCTGTGGGGAATCTTTGTCATTTGTTGGCTTTCCATTTGATATCTTTGTGTGAACTATTAAACCTGGCATTTTCTCTCAGGGAGGAAAAAAAATCTCCCAAATCAATCATTCTCAGCCTTTGGGTTATGGATTCCTTTAAGAATTTATTGAAATTTATACTCAGAAAGTTATTGAAAGTTTTACACAGAAGTCCATCTGTGGACTCCAGGATAAAAAAGCCAATGCTGGGGCGCCTGGGTGGCTCAGTTGGTTAAGCGTCTGACTTCAGTTCAGGTATGATCTCGAGGTTTGTGAGTTCGAGCCTGGCGTCGGGCTCTGTGCTGACAGCTTGGAGCCTGGAGCCCGCTTCAGATTCTGTGTCTCCTCCTCTCTCTGCCCTTCCCCGGCTCATGGTCTGTCTCTCTGTCTCTCAATAATAAATAAATGTTAAAAAAAAAAAAAAAAGCCAGTGCTAAGAGCGTCTATTGTTCTAGTGATTGATTTGATTTCCAAATTTACATTATGGGGGACACAGGCCTGGCTCAGTCAGTACAGCATGCAACTCTTGATCTTGGGGTTGTGGGTTCAAGTTCCACATTGGGCGTACAGCCTACTTAAAAAAAAAAAAAACTACCTAATTTACAACACGGAATTGAACTTGATGTATCTTACTGATTTCCAAACCCGTATAGAAAAAATTGCCACAGATGAGTCACTTCTCACATTCAGCCACTAGATGGCACTAGACTCTCATTCTTTTATACAAGGTGCCCGACTGGGTTTTCACATCTGTACAATCATAGGAATCTTAAAGCTGCCTGATAGGGTTTTTATAAAGAAGATGGCAAGCAGTGCTTTTCATACTGAATTTGACTGTTTGACCATCCCAGCCAACAAGAGGAATTAAACAAAAACTGTCCTAAAACAGATGTGCCTAAAAAAACGCATGTATGCTTTTCTTACTAGTTAAATGCATAAGCAATGAAACCTTGACTTTTTATTTTCTCCTTTTTTTTTTTAAAGTAGCTCAAAGCAGACTAATCAGGATATTAGCATTAATGTAAAATACACCTGACTTAACCTCTACCCTCTGCCCCTAGCCCCACCTTTTACCCTGTATGGCTCTTTCCTGTGTGTGTTATGTTTTGTCTGGTGTGTTTACTGAATATATTTTCGTTCTATGCTTAAGTTAAAGTGTGCACATACCAAATTAGCTCTCGTATTTGGAACAGGACCATTATTTGCTTTTGCCCCAACGCCATGCATTGATAATATCTAAAATGTGGAAGGAGCGGCCTTTTCTCTCTAATGTCCACTTGCAAAGCCTTGGCCTGCCACTGAGACGTCACTGCGGGTTGCTTACTGGGAGTCCCCTGGTTTCTCAGGAACTGCCTTTGGCTCTTCCTCTGGCTTCTGCCGGTGCGATAGCCAGGCTCTCCGCAGCTGCATTCCTTGTCGTGGAAGCCGCGAGAATAGAGGTTCCGCATGCTCTGCCGCACGGTGAGCAGGTCACTGGATCCTTTACACTTGTGAATTCGGAGCTTGCCAGATGTGTCCTCAATGCACTGCCACTTCTGCAAAAGCCAATGTGAGAGCGGTTTACCCCTCCTGCTCCAGGTGCTTCGTATCACGGGCCGCTGCATCGGGTTCCGGAAGCCCGGGCAACCCCGATAAGCAGAGCCAACGAAGGAAGGTAAGCTTTTAACTGACCCTGCAACGAGCCTACCCCCGGTTCTCTCGGTTATTTCTCTCACGGGAGGCAAAGACAGATGACGCCGGAATCATTGGAAATCAGAACTACCTCGGCGACACTAGAGCCCAAAATTGATACATAAATGCTCAGGATCCAGACTAAACAGTCTTGAGTGAGACACGTAAAAAGCCCTGAATTCACCCAGCCACAGAGCACAGCTGTCACGGCTGTTTTCACCAGACCCCTCTTCCTCTGGAAAAACAAACCTGGCTGCTTTGTTCTCAAGCCCCTGAATTTCTGACTCGGGCCAGGGAAGAGTGGCACGTGAGGGAGCCGGAGAGGAGTTTAATGGGAGTCTGTTGCTGCGCGGGCCAGCTCTCACAGGGCCGGGATGTTAGCAAACGTGTCAGGGGTTCTCTGGGCCTCTTCTTATCCTCCTCCGGACCCCGCAACCCTGAAGAGACAACGCGACAGGCACGGCGGGGGGGGGGGCGGGCCCGGTGGGCACTGGGTTTTCTCCTTTGAGCCTTCTATAAAGCCTGCCGCAGACACGGCAGGCTTACTTCTAGATCAATGGGACGCGGCACTGGGTCTCCCTGTCCCTCCCACCTGCTGCCCAGGCTTCTTGAACTTCAGTCTGCCTGAAGTAATAGCACTTCTCCTCGGGGCATTTCATGGGATCCTCCGTATGTTACCTAAAGGCCTAATAACCTTCCTTTTACTTTCTCTTTTCCCCTGGCCTCCTCTCTAAAATGGTAATTTGGGAAGTATGCTGACCTTGGTCTGAAGTTGACCACAGTTGTGACAACACGCTGTCATGCAGTGTTATCAAACTTTTGTCTTTTTTTCCCTTCCATCTATGAGTATCCCCCGTATACAATTATTGACACTTTTCTCTAAATGGACACATTTCTAAGCAGTGGCCAAAGCAACAGCCCCTGTAAAATTATGTATTTGGTGTGCCAGTTCCATATTTCAAATACATATTAAAATAAATAAAAAATTATTAAATAAAAGATGCTCTTTCCTGAGCCACATATAATGATCTCACCATACCCTCCTTGTGTACCTGTAACCATACTTTGGATTGCATTTTAATTTCAAGGTGATCTGATGCAAGGCAAAATTTAGTCAAGGGTCCCAGATGGCTTGGCCAGCAGACAAAGGACGCTCGTGTACAAAATGGAGTGCGATCCACTGAGATACCACCTCACACCAGTCAGAGTGGCTAAAATGAACAAATTAGGAAACAACAGGTTTTGGCGAGGATGTGGAGAAACGGGAACCCTCCTGCACTGTTGGTGGGGATGCAAACCGGGGCAGCCGCTCTGGAAAACAGTGTGGAGGTTCCTCAAAAAATTAAGAATAGATCTACCCTATGACCCAGCAATAGCACTGCTAGGAATTTACCCAAGAGATACAGGAGTGCTGATGCATAGGGGCACACGTACCCCAATGTTTAGAGCAGCACTTTCAACAATAGCCAAATGATGGAAAGAGCCTAAGTGTCCATCAACTGATGAATGGATAAGGAAGATGTGGTTTATATATACAAAGGAGTACTACTTGGTAATGAGAAAGAATGAGATCCTGTCATTTGCAGCAACATGGATGGAACTGGAGGGTATTATTAAGTGAAATAAGTCAGTCAGAGAAGGACAGATATCGTATGTTTTCAGTCATATGTGGATCTTGAGAAACTTAACACAAGACCATGGGGGAGGGAAAGGGGAAAAAATAGTTACAGAGAGGGAGGGAGGCAAACCATAGGAGACTCTTAAATACAGAGAACAAACTGAGGGGGTCGGGGGGGGTGGGGGAGAGGGGAAAGCGAGTGATGGACATTGAGGAGGGCACTTGTTGGGATGAGCACTGGGTGTTGTATGTAAGTGATGAACCACGGGAATCTACTCCAAAAACCAAGAGCACACTTTACACCCTGTATGTTAGCCAATTTATCAAGAAATTATATTACAAACAGAAAACAAAACAAACAAAAACCCTACCCCAAAAACCAAATGGAGTGTGACCATTCACAATGGACCAATGTACAGAGTCATGCTTTGTTTTTTCTTAATGGAGCCATGTGCCCTCAATAAGCATTGAATTATCGGTGCTGCCTTTGCACTTCTACCCGATAGTCCCCAAATTCCGGGGCCATAGGGCTTGTTCTGTGATTTTGCTTTAGCCCCCATACACTCGGTGCTACAGAATTCGGTGATTTCAAGCCACGTCAGGTTACAGTCTTCTTTTGTGGCTTGACCAGCATATCCTGAATGTCCATCATCTCCATCCCGAGAAGCAGGCTCAAGGGACAGGGCAACTCTATTTACAAAGCCATGAAAAGGTGACACAAACAAGCACAGTCAAGGACTAACTAAGTTAGAGATAATTTAACTGAAGAAAAAAAGTGAAGTCAACTTGATCAGGCACACAGGACTTATGTCAGGTCAGTGGTTCTCACACATGGCTGGGCTTCGGGAGTTTCAAAAGCTCCCCTGGTGATTCTAATGTGCAGTTGGGGTTAAGAACAACCGCTTTCAATTTGCGACTGGTTCTTGGACCTCTTTGCAGCTGGAATCCCTGGCAGGGGCAAAAGAGGTCTAAGTAGCTCGGACGGAGGAGTCTTTGGGAAGGATATATGCATTTTGGGGCGTGGATATGCAAAGGAAGCTGTGTCTAGAAATGCACTGATGCAATCAGGTCAGAAAACGACTCTAGTTGAACAGAGGTACACTTCCAGCTCGTCTACACTGGCAGGACTATGCATTCTCTGTAAGAGTAACCAGTTTTCCTTACTTTCTCTCCATAGGTAGTTGACAAGTGATAGAATTTCGTCTTTGCAAATGCTTAGCGGAAAGCTGTGTGTGCCTGTTCTGCCATTCAAGGTGGAGACCAGTGACTTTCAAGCCTGGGTGTGTGGCACTTCCAGACACATCCAGTGAGCTTGAGGAAGTGTCGTGAAGTTCTTGAGAAAAGTTCTCAGAAACAGATATACAATTCCCTTAAGGAATAACGATATGCCCTGTGGAATTTTTGCTGGTGAGAAGTGTCAGCAAAATCAGTGATAACCTTTTATAGCTCCAGAAAGTTTGGTGATCAGTGATACTAGAGTGTCAGTCTAGATCTGTATTTGTCCTAAATGCAAATGGTTTCAGACTTCTCCATCTATCTGGGTAACCTCTAACTCCAGCATTCAAAAACTAAGAGTTTACTACTTAATTCCAAGGGTAGCAAAAGAAGAGGCCAGTGTTCTACAGCCTAGTAGAAGCTTAAGAAATACTCTGTTTTCTCCCAGACAGGAAAACATGGTTGTCTTTATTCTTGTCTGGTCTTGTGTCTTTTGTGGTTCGAATTTATACCAATTTTGGTACACATACTAATTTTTAAAACACGTAACTGCAGTGAAAACCTTCCTTAGTTTTGTAACCATAACGCACTAAAAAAAAAATTCCGCCTTTTTCTTGGCCTTGAAGAGCTGAGTGTACAGAACAGAAAGTGTAGGCAGAATTTTTAGTGATTTGGTCTATTTGGAATCTAACTGGCATTTTCCCATTAGCCAAATTCCTTGCTAATGTCCCATGGATCAGAGGTGAAGGGAAGGGGTGTTTCTTTCCTGAGACATGAATTTAACCAAACCTGAGGTCTGGTACCATCCTGGGCACTGGTGACATATCACACAAATCAAATATGCACACATATATGTATGCATATATGCATATATGTATGTATGCATATATGCATATATGTATGTATGTATGCTTCTGTACACACATGCACACACGTACCCACATATACTAAAGGTATACATCCACCTACACACATTCTTGTATAAAACAAGGGCCACAGTGAAAAATGCCAACGCTTTTCTATACCATGAACCCTTTGAACAAGCCATAGACCCTATCAGATGGAGTAATTAGCTAGAGGCTTTCAAACTCTTCTTAGTGGCAAGCCTACTAGCAATTTTAATGAAATGTAATTACCACATATTTGCCACAGTCATTTTAGTGTTCGATATCATGATAATTTTTACAGCTGAGCAATAAATCCTTGAATGACTGCCACCACCGTGGTCATCATTGAGAGTTTATAGAGGGAGGCGAGGGAAGAGAACTTTCAGAGAATTGCTCTGAAACTTACACCACCAGTCAGTTACACGCTCAAAACAATGAGGAGATGGTTTCGCAGTGCAGAAGAGCTTCCGGAATCAGAAGGAAGCACGAACTCAGGGAGGCATCTGCTAACGGGACACGGAGTCAGCCTCAGAAACGAGCTTTGTGAAAGACCCGCCCGTGCAGACATACAGACATCAAACTGTCTCCCTTTTGTCTACTCTCTTGAAGTTTATCAGTAAATCAGTTAACTGCCAGGGCCGATGGTCTCCACCTTCCCTGACCACTCACCCCTTCTGTAAATTCCTTTGCCACTTTGTCGGACCTCGTTTCAACATTTCTCTTGCCTCTCTGGCTCCGTCTGTGCCAATCATTTAACATACATTCATCGCACAACTATTTCTGCAGACGTTCTGCTGATGAGGGGCTAGATAAAACCGTGTAAATAATTTTGTAGGTTATTCTGATTTCATTTTACCCTTTCCAGCCACACTGGAATTTGGAATTAAAGGCAGGGACCATGTCTCATACTCCTGAGTTATTCCCTGAAGTTAGCTCAGCATCAAATCACTTTGTTTAGTAATTATGTCTTAGTATATTTTGATTGATTATATATACTTATATATAAATAACACATAATGAAGAGAAGACTGGCTATTTGGCGTAAGGATTCAGGTGTGGGGCAGCTGGTTTAGTGGAATCAAATCTAATGAGAAATATGCTAAAATGGCATTCAAACAAGTCCCTTCAACACTGTCTTTGTCAC